TATATATATATGGTAAAAAGTCTCTTTCTTCGAGAAACTCTGCCCAGAAATACATTAATGTAAGTGCACACCAGTCCATGTAGTCTTTTACCCATTATGCTGGCTAAAACTGAGATGTAGCTCTTGTTTAGTTTTGTTGTTTTCATTGAGAAATTCACATTCTGAYAGGGATAAACTGTTTTGAATTTTTCCCACTTGTGAATAGTCCTTATTGTTGTAAAATTATGAACTCAAAAATGTTTTGAAACTGTTGCTTTTCTCAGATTAATGGGCACCACCATTCGCATTATCACTGCTAATAGCTTTCCTTTTTTACATTATATTAGCGCATGCCTTAACKCTTCAAACCAATAAAATGCCCAAAATTTTGCTTTTTACCAGTGTGCTTACACTTGCTGATARCATCCGGATATGTAAAGCTGTAGATCTGAAAGAGGCATTCTTGCTTTTATTACCACTATGTCTTGAAGTTAAGAGAACAGAAGCAATATGCTTCTGGAATGAAAATCATTGGTCTGAACAGTTAATGACAGAGAGGGTGAAGGTGGTTGGAAGGCTAAAACCAAGGAAAAACTGAAATGTCAGCTGCTTCCCACATTTCTATTAGATAGTTACTTGGGTTGCTAGAGTACTGGAAAGTGCAGCGCAATTCTGGCACCCTCCTAAACCTCGTCCTCTTAGATGAAGAACACAGTGTGGTTTCGGTCTTAGTTACAAGTGACAGCTGCCAAATGGCCCTTTGAGCCTCTCCTTTTAGGGCAAAAAAGAACAAATGTTGTCTCTGTTTGCCATAATGTTCCAAGTATGAAGTTGTCTTGCAGAAGAAGTCATAGCACTAATTAAATGAGAAGAAATTTACTCACACAGAAAGTCATAATGCTGAGGTTTTCCACCCTCTGTGCTGCTTTTGCTTTATAGTTTGCATTCTACCGTACAACAGGCTCTTCTGCTTCACCGGGAATTGCCCATTCATATATCAAGCATAGCCACTGACCATGATGTGGTTTTTCACATAGAGGTTGTAAATTTATTTAAGTGTACATACATAAAAAAAGATGGGAAAGAAAACATTCAGCCCAATGACCGGAGGAGCTCGTCTACAGCTGCTGGGGCAAAAAAAAAAAGAGCATTTCAACATTTAACTACACTAGACTCAAAGTAATTAAAATACAGGAATACTCAATAAGGTACATATGTTTTTTTTTAATTCCAACATTACCCAAGTTTAATAGAAGCATTGCATCATAAAGGTTGGATCATTTCTATACACCTCCTCCCTCAAAAGAGTCCTTGTCAAATACACAGTTACCATTTGGGTTTTCCCAGTCTCCGTTATTTTCTTTCCAGAAAAGTGTGCTTCATTTTGGCACAAGAAAAGTAAGATAAAAAAGAGAAATTGAAACAAAAAGTAGAGAAGAAAATGACACTAATAAGAATGAAGCAACGCCAAGTAGAGGAGAAGTGAATCAGTGAGACCAGAGAAGGGACTTCCCTGTTCAAAAACTGTTTTAGAGGCTGAAAGTGACCATCAAGCAAACATGTTGGTGCTCAGTTGCACTTCCTTAGTCATTCAGCGTAGTTATGAAAAAACTTTATTTGTTTTTTTTTTTTTCTACTTCTAGACACTTGACAATTGTGGGCCACAGAAATAAGTGAGGATTTGTAAAATTGCAGCCATCGATTCTGAAGTCAAATAAAACGGGAGTGGCTGGAAGAGCACATGCTGACTCACTAAAAAATAATATTTCTGAGGACAGCCGCTCTCAGCCATCATTAAAAGACCTCGTCATAAATACTCCCAACAGTCAGAAATAGGAGACCTGTAATTTTGTGCAGCAGCTCGTCGACAAATATATGAGTCTACACGTCTGCTGTGAACCAAAATTACAGTACACTGGCTGCATCTGAGCTTGAGGTCTTGTATGACAGAGGAATGTTTCTTTGTATTGGGCTCTTATTTATAGCTTTCATAACCTTTTTTTCTTCTTCAAATTTTCTGCTACAAAGAATTTTTGTTGGTGTTCAGCAACAGGGTTTTTTTTCTTTTTTGGCTATTTACCCCTAGAAACTTATAAAAGCTGAAGAAGACATAATGAGCCATCATAAAAAAATAACTGACTGCTTGTTGGTGCAGATTTTCTTTTATCCTGCCATTAAAAGAAAAAAAAATCTGTTGTAAACTGAAGATCGTGAAAATAAAAATGTTTTTGACAATGCTGAACTAAAGTCCTCTGCCTAAAATGAACTATTTCAAGTTCATTATCAGTTTTACACAAGACAGTCTCCAAATTTCATGCAATACCTAGGATAAACATTACTTTACATTTTGATTTTATTTCAAATTGTCTCACCTGTTCGTTTCTTTCATATACATTATTATTGAACATAATGCATTTTAATGTGTCAATATTCTCAACCAAGCCATCTTGCTGATGAGAATTGGCTGTTTTTTCATGGCAGCCATGTTGAAATGGATCTACCTYGTCTCATTGAAATAGAAAAAATAAATCCATGTCCGCACATTGGGTAAATTCACTGAAGTGTTGGAGGACCTGGCTATAAACAAAAGGACCACATTAAAGTTTGTCATGTCTGCTTTGCCCTGTCTGTATTTTCTCAAACCTTTACATATCACATGCTGTGGAGGAACAAACCCTCCCTCTTTTTCCATTCCCGCTTATTCTTTCTCCTCATTCTACACAACCTATTTGTCCATGAACTCCATGTGTCCTGCTGCTGTTCCCCTCTCCAAATCCAAATCCCACCCCACAGGTTTCCTTTTATATATTTTCCTTGTCTTTTTTTCCATCTTATCCGTGGCCTTTTCACCACCTTTATTTGCCAGAGAGAGAATAAACTTTTTTTATATATTTGCTGTACAGCCTGAGAGACAGATGATGGTGGTCAGGATGCAAGTTTTCATCACTGGTCAGTTTGTTTGGAAAAACTTGTGCAGTGGCAGCAATGCCTCTGTGTGTGTATGTGTGTGTGAAGACATACTGTATTGTGAAGTATGAACAACCTTCAGTTCTTGTTACAGTTGCACTTGATGGTTTGGAGCCTTGAGTATCAATTTATCCCAGTGACRCAAAACCATATTTCTGAATTTTCAGTTTGGCTTTAGCATAGCGAGACCCAAGAACAGATCTTTAAAGCTACTCTAAGCTATAAACCAAAATGACATTTACTAAAGTGTAGCCTTCCAAAACAAAGTTGTGGTTCCTAAGAATCATCCATAAACCTTCCTGAAGAGTTTTCTTTGGAACTGTTTTACACGGTAGAGGATCACAAATGAAATTCTACCCATTTCCTTTTATTAGGACTGCAGAAGAGTTTAGGAAAGGGTAAATAAACCAAAATCAAATGTGCTTTATGTTGTTGTTTTTTCTTTCAGTTGCACCTTTCTTCAGGGGTTGCCACATGAGTGAACTCAAATAAATGATATGGCCAGTGTTGATGCCCCAATGGTCTKGGCTTGAACCTGCAGCCTCAGAATTAAAAGACCACAGCACTGATCATTAAGCTTCTACAATCTTTCAAATGGGCTTTATATTCATTTGTATTACTTATGATAAAATTGCCAGAAGTATACGAATGGTTGCTAAAGACATATTGTGCTTTTAAATCCTTCTCTATCACATTTAAATTATTCCGTTGGGGTCTATATGAAGTAGAACTGCAATGCTTTGGTTTGAATTCCTCCTTATTGTAGCTCCACAAACCCCCCCTTTTATCCTTTTTAGGTGTGTCTCAGATCAACTCATTTTGACACTGTCTCTTTAAATCTAGAGCACTCCATTTCAGTTTGATAGAGGGGTTTGCAACTGTATAACATTGCAGAAATGTTGTATTTACAAATTAATTTAAAAAAATGTTAACAACTGAAGACTTGTTCATTCAGCCTTACATGTTGGAGCAAGAGTTTGACCCAGAGTGAAAGGAGAATGAAGATAATGAAATTGTAGTTGGTAAGTCCAGACCTTGTTTAGAAGCTTCGTTGCAACAAAAATGTGGTGCAATAGTTCAGAAGACTGAACAAGCTGGATAACATGACCCAAACAGAAGATAAAGACATCTTCGCAGCACCAGGAGAGACTAAATTCAAATTTTCTGCACTCCTAGAGACTCCAAGTACACAACAAAAATGCATTTAACAGCTATAAAGGTGGATTTTGCATGATATGACCATTTAAAGTAGCTAATACGTCAGATGGTTTTTCAGCTGCAGTGATTTTACTTTATACATTAGTTTGCTTATAGGAGAAAGGTAGACATGCAGTAGTGTGGAATAAATTTATGATCAGGGCTTTAGGTGATGTGTAATACATAAAGTAATGAGTATATATTAAAAATAATTCTGATCATTTTCTGGACAGTGAACATAAAGCAAGAAACAGGACTGAGGATTTGGAAAGAATTAGAGAAAACAAAGATGAAGTCGGATCCYTTTGGTGGAGGTTTTACCCTCGCTGTCTTGCTTTGACACCATGACCCATGAGTCACAGCTGAGGAATTAACTGTGAAACTGCATGGAACCAAAGGAGCACAGGACTCCCGCTGGGTCAAAACAACAACAAAAAAAGCACTTTCAAAGGAACCAGCTTATGTCTCTGCACAGCTAGAAATGTTGCTTTCTCCTCCCTTCATTTCATCAATCCTTTCACACTTTCCCAAGGTTTTTTTTTTTTTTTTTTTTTTTTGTGGTCACGAATCCATCAGGAACTGAGATGTGTTGGAGAATAGGGGGATTTCCCCATCTTTTTTTATCCTTTCATCACCCACATGCAGATATTTTTTCCAAGTGAGCCCACAGACAGAGTGTTCTCCTGTAAGAGCTGTGTTAATGGTAACTATGTCATCTTTTTCCAGGAAGAACAATAAATTTCAACATCACAAAATTCATGAAGCAGCATTAGTTAGCTTTAATAAAGGTGAAAAGCATTTTTATTTCAGATGGGTCTAAATAAAATTGGAATGTACAGTAAGTTAAGCTTGAAATGATTAGTGATCAGCCTCATCTTAATTTTTAGGGTAGTTACAGTAACGTCTGAGACAAGAGTAAACTCATGCACCACTCAAAAAAATAGACATTCCCCATCAGGAAATTAAAACTGGCAGGGGAGGTCAGGAAGAGGAAATTATGACCAAAAGGAGGAATAGAAAAAGCAATGATCTTTTTTTATACTCTCTGTGCTTGGTTTGATTTAAGTACCCTATACATGATTTGTTTTGAGCTCATTTATTAATTATTCTGCCTAAATATTGTGTAAAAATCCACATTTGACACTTTCGTTTCCGTAGTTTTCAAAAATGTTTCTTTCTATTTTTTACTTGTTTGTTTTGAATTTTGTTTGACAGAGTGGTAGTTCATGGAAAGAAACAAAAATAGGAGTGTGTAGTCGCTATTACTTTTTGTGGACAGAATTAAAGAGCCTGTGTAATTCCTACAGACGCTCAAACAAAACTCTTACACTAGAAAAACACTTGCACTCACTTTAAAACATTTTCTGTCACAACATTTGACATTGTTCATAAACATTTTTAGTCCAGCAGAGAAGTAACAGCATTTTGTTGTTGTTGTTGTTGTTGTTGTTGTTGTTGTTGTTGTTGTTGTTGTTCTACATTCGGGTGGAAAAAGCCTAATAGCTGATATCACAGCTTGAAGTCCAGCTGTGTACCAGCTGTATTTCAAGTAGGCTTCTTAATTTGAAGACTTCCAGTACATAAATGACCAGAATCTTAAGGTCAGTGTTATGTTTGGTGAACACTACGTGCTATAATTGCCAAACTGGTGTCTGTCATATTTTCCTCTACTCCTTTCCATTCAAAAAGTCAGCACACAGAAAATAAAAATCAAGTTTTGGTCTTGCATTTTCTAATTGTCAAATCAGACAGGCTGCTTTACTCTGAACTTTAACATCTTTCAGTAGGCTGTTTGTGTGGTTACCATTGCAACCAAACAAACTGTAAACACAGAGGCTTTCTGTTCCTGAATCATGGAGTTATTGGTGGAAGGGAGGGTGTTCTTCCTACACAGTGCTGTAGCTGTTGCTCATCCGTCAGACACTAGGCGCCTCATAAGAGCATCCTTGATATCAACACCTCCGTGGTTCATATCTGAACCATTGCCTCAGTCTAGCCAACGCAACAGCTCAATGACCTCAGCTCTTTGAGCCATGACTCACCCCATGCCCCTGTGTGGTCAACAGATGCATGCGCACACTCAGCTTTAGTCATAAAGTCATAAAGTTGAATGACTCTTGATATGAGAGGTAGATGCATGTGTGCTGTCTTTCACCATGATGTTCCCATTCTTAAATGCTTTCTCACCTAAAAGACAGAATTAAATTCAACACAAACATAAGCATTGATTTGTAAGGTGACCTTTCGGCTCATCTAAATAAAATACATATACCTTGACAATTGCTTTCTGCTAAACTATTTCACACCCTGACTAGCAACAGCACCTATTACTGTAACAACTTCTATAACATTCATTTGATATTTTGATATTTGTTTAACAAGTAGTCATACAGAAATGGCTGCTCTGTATAACTTTTGAGTGAATAAATTTTCCCTAGCTTACAGTAACTTTAAAAACAATTAAGTACAAATATCTACTTTCACTTTTTCTAAGTCTTTTGTAGATGTTCACACTTGRAAAAAAAATACACCTAATACAGAAAACTTTCCAAGTAAAGCTGTCAGCAAAGAAAAAATGTTGGTCTTAGCAGAAATTATAGCACACATCAGCACTTTGATGTTAGATGGCATACAATTCATTGAACTGTTTTTTCTCTCTCATGGGTATTGTCTTACAGATCAGGATCTGGAGACAGAGTGTGGTCACCAACACTTAGTGAGGACGGCAAGACAAGCCCTTACTTGGAGCATGACTCACAGGTAACTGTTGTTTACTCTGGTTTTCCCCCAATCGCAAGTCACATCTGTTTGGTCAGACTTGAATTTACAAATAATTGGACACTGTAAAATGACAAGCACATAATTTTTCATACCTTTAACACACAGTTTGACATTTAAATATATGGCCAGACKTTTGGTGGGAAAATATTCTTAACACCTGCCAGTAGTGAATGAAAAAAAAACTTGTTAGAAAACATGTTTGGCCCCTGCATCGTCATTCTATAGACTTCTTGTCTCTTAGTGATTAGGTCTAGCTATAAATTCAGGTTTTATGGTCTATTGGTCAAAGACAACCAATGTCTTTGTCTGAAATATTCAGCATACTATCTAAATAATCCAAAGTTTGTGGATAAACATGTCACTATTAAAAAGAGATTGATTAGGCTATTTTGCTGCTGTTCACATTAGCCCCAAGAAAAGCTAAATCACATCTGGGTTCATTCTGTGACCTTTACAACTTGGTAGCTGAGATATTCAAGTCTGAGTTTGTTTTGACAGTAAACAGAATCCATGGAAACGGGCACAAAACTTGATCTGCAAGTTGCATGTACATTCTCATGAACTCGATTATAAATGAGAGAATGCATCTCACTGTTCAGTGAATTGGTATTGAAATAGAGTCTTGATTGTCCTCCAAATGTACGAGCTGCCAAAAGAATATTCAAGGCATGATGAACAGATGATCTTCTCCAAGTTTTTTTTTATTTATTTATTTTTTTTTTTGGCAGGCACATTTGCTTCTGAGTGTGTAGAGGGTGAGATACATGCTGTGCGTTGTGGAGAATTGTCAGCCTGTAGGATGGAAATAGACAATGAGGGTATTGTGTCTTAGATATATGTAAGAGATGCTCATTTGTCAAGAATTAAGTTGTGGTCAAGGCAGAAACTAAGATACATGTATCACAGTGTTTCCTTGTATGAAAAGGTGCAATGGGAAGATCAGGGGATGTGGTGAAATATACTACATATGCAGCCATTTATTAGAGTCTGATATTTTACAAGGAAGTATTTTTGAGAGTCACAGACAGAAATAAAGCTATTGAATTCCAAAAGTCACTATTTGCCTTCTTGTTCTCTGTTGTTGGAAGAAAAAAAACTTTTGTTACATGAGAAAACRTAAGGCTTGTCCCTGGTTTATAAGTTGATTTCTGAACAAAGATAAAGACAGAATACAGTGCATTTCCAATTGCATCACCTTTTTTTGCCTGTATCCACAACAGGATATRGGTTAATATTTAAAAGTCTCGCCATGTTGAGGATTACCTGATTACCAAAGCGTTGTCAATAAAGTTGTAAAAGATTTTAAAAAAAACTCAACCAGCTTCAGTGCAGAGCCTGTTGAATGGAGCTTGATGGAGCTTGAAGTATTTTCAAAGGACATTATATAAATTCTACAAATAACTGWAATTTAAGAAAGAGAAAACTGAGAGCTCTTCACGCTTCACGAAACAAACAAAGTCGTAACAACTTTTGCAAAAAAAATTTTTTGGCAAGGCACGGGAGCAACATGGGGATGATACAGCACCTAAAATGAAAACAACTGGGTAAGTCACTATGTTTATTTCATTTTGAAGTCAGGAAAGGTATCATTAATCTCGCCGGTAGCTGGCCTGATGCTGGTATTAGCTTGTTAGCTATTTGATGAAAGTGATAAAATATGCATGTTACTCTTTATTTCAGTTTAAGTAGTTTAATCTACTTTGTTTAAAGCTAATGTTTAAATGTGCTATATGAATAAATCCAACTTGCACACAATGATGGTAATAATTTAATGATAAAGCTTTAAGTTTTATTTTGCTGACAATGTGAGTGAAGAMACTTCAAAGGGCAATAAAACACCCACCATGTGTGTTTCATTGTTCTTTGGACTACTTACTTGCCTTAACCTAATACTGCAAATAAAACAAAKYATTTATTAAGTTGTTGTAAATTATACTATAATACAGAACATACCAATACAATACTGTTGTTCTCATTCCAGAAAAAAAGAAACAATGACAGGGTTCATGTTGGGAAAGACATCATGGACACCACGGCAAGCACATAACTTGACTTAAAGTATCTTTAACATGATCATCACTGAGGCTTCTGTTCATGGTCAAAGATAAAGGCTGACAGTCAGCACTATTATTCCAGGGTGCACTCTTCCCTCAGTGTCCTTGGAGAGAAAATACTAAGATACTTTCAAGGATATAGGAAATATTTGTTTATATTTTTGTGTATTTGTTTTTTTTTTCTTTTTACTGAATCTTTTTGATGAACATTTTTTTACATGCAATTGCTTATTAAAATGATTGTTATTTGCAACCCTAACAAACAAAAATAAATCTTTACAATTTAAATAGTAATCAATAATGGAAGTTTGCATTAATAGAAACATGAAAAAAAACATATTGGTGAAATATGATTTTATGGCATACAAAAAGGCAGATGCATGTTTTAATGTTCGTGCTGAATTCTCATGATCACTTTGGGTTTTTGGCTTACACAGCTAAATACMAAACCTGAGTGAGACAGACTTTCAGTAACAGTTTATATAACCACACAGACAAGCATGACAAAAGAGCTTTGCGTGGTGGTAATATGAGAGCAGCAAATCCTCTCTCCTGATTTTCCCTTTTGCCTTCTATGGTATCTCAATAACATCTTATCCATCACTTCCTTTCTCCTTCACTAAAGTCAGACAACACTCTGGTATCTCATTTAATAAATTAAACCTGGGCAGCTGGAAACCTCCAAGTCAGGGCTACTCTAATGTCACAYGCAGGTGGATACATCTTTGCATGAGCAGAGGAAGCAAATGTTCCCTGGGGACCAAAACATTCCCTTTCTTTGTTTTCTGTTGTACTTTAATACAATTTGAATACATTACAGTGCTGATTGTTCCTGAGGCCTGGTGGAATTATTATACTTGACTTGTCTTTGCTCACATCTGCTGACAGAAATTATTCAGTGAAATAAATGTGGCCAACAGTGTCTCCAGAGATAAATCACTTTGGAGAGCAGGACCAACAATGACCTGATTCAWATCAAATTAATTGATGAAAATGGAAACACAGTTAGAAAATGTATTTACAACCACTTAAAACATGTCTGCTATTTAAATTTCCCCTTTGTGATGTCTCCAATAGAATACTTTAGGATTCATGTTGAAGCAGCATACTTTCATCAGCAGGATGAGAACTGAAACTAAAAACGTACTGAACTGCCAAAGGAGCATCAGAGCACTTTCCTTCCAGYAGAAATAAAAAGCCCAGATTCATTGTTGGCATCCGTCATCGTATTCTGTATTTGACATTTCCTCTTTTTAATTTTGAACTCCTGTTGGAAATTCCAGCCTCACTGCACATGATTTTTTTTTTGACTGAGCAGGAAGTGACTCGTCAATGCTTTAAGGGGGCTCCTTTTACCTTGAAAACTTGGGAGATTCTCATAAAAGCCTAAGAGGAAAAGCAGGAATTTTTGGTAAAATTCCAAGCAGGCATATGACTGGATGCTGTTTTTAAAACACTGTGACTGCATGACTTTTACTGTTGCTTTTACTTGGGGAAGGATGAAATTCAATGAAACGGYATGATTTCCAAGGAACTGAGCTCACATTAAAGGCTGTCCACAAGCCACCGGATGTCTTACCCAACTTCCTAAAATAGAAATAATTTTGTTACMGTGGGATGGCAGGAATGAGGTAATAATAATGTGTTATGACTAGACCTGCATAAATCACATGTGAAACTTTGACAAGGTTTTAACTTTAAAAGGATCCCGTAATGATTTAAGATAATTGTTTCTCTATCAGTGACTGACACAACCCCAACATTAAAGTGAACAAAAACTGGATTATCTTGAAGTAGATTCACTCAGACCCAGCCTAATGTTTTTTAACCACCAGCTCCCCAACAACCCTGCCTTGAAATGTGGGTAAAAAATAGATGAATGTATGGAAAGATGGATGGATTCACTACAGTTAAAAAGTCAATCAACACTGTTGGTTAAAAACATTGCAGATTTTTTTTAAATTTCTACCCTCAAGCCACAGTTTGCAGTTGCAGCTTTAAGTAAGAGGGAATGCCCTACAGCCATAGTTCAAATCAAACAGCAATGTTTTGGCTCAAAGTGCCTCAGTGTCATTCATGAAAGCTAACCCATCATTATAGTGAGAGCTAATGTGGCCTAGCACTATGGTCCTGTGGAAAGAATGAGGCCTCACAGTGTGGAAGCTGAAAGGTTTGGATTGCACGTCACTTGAAGCTTCCAGTCTCRGCCCAGGAGCTGGCAGCTGAAAGCAAATTCTCTAAGCTAACATTAATAGGAGCTGACAGATAAAGTCCTTGCATGACTTACAGACCGTAATTCCTTCTCTGCTTGGAGATGAGCTATGCTCTTAAAACAAAAGGTTTTGCATGACACACATATTTTGTTTATAAATGAACAACATAATTATTTTACAGTATCAGTAATGAAAGAAATTACTTTTAAAAACACAAGACAGTAAAAAATAATAACATATTTAGAGAGAAGAAAGTTTGACATATAAATACTTGACAATATAGTTTAAAAAAAGTTCAGTCCAAGTTCAGTAGATAATTGAGATGTTGGAAGGGTTTTTTACAGCTTTATAATGAGTCACAAAACCATCATTTTACATCATATACCAGTAAGTACTGCAAGTGTTTAACATTTATTCATAGAGATATCTCCTATAAATTAAAAGTTCTGTAAGTAAACTTTATTTATTTAGCAACGTTATTTATTTAGCACTTTTCACCATCACAAACATCACAAAGTGTTTAACTAACAAAAAACTAAGAACAATAAAAACTCAAAACAAACATAAAATAAAAATAAATGTGTACTATTTCACACAGCATTATACAGTATGTCCCTCCAGACCCAGGGAACCATAAAGGATTGGTTTGTGTTTGGTTATTTGTGCAAAGCAACATATTAAAATCCTAATTTTGAACATTCAGAGGGACTCAGCCACTCAGGAGGCAGTTCATGCATTATTAAGACTTTCTGAATCTCAAGTAAAGGTTGGCATATGCTTTCAATTAAACTCCCACCTTACACCCACACTACTCTTCAACCTGTCCTTTCTTCATCTGTACCATGTAATGCCCTAGTTAGTGTTCTGCATTAAGGTCCACTCATTTTGCTCTCCGAATAACTTTTTGTCCAGGTAATGAAAGGAAAACATTCATATGTTTTGACTTAAAGCACTTCACTAAGTACAATCAAAGATGAACATGCAAATGCCAAATGCCTTTGTTTAAGTACAAAACCTCATCCGTTACCAATTTTCCTGAATCATTAGGCAGGCTCAGCTGCCACTGGAAAACAGTTTGGTGAAATCACTTGGATTTTTAGCTTTATGGGCAGCAGACAATGCTGAGTCTTATAAATAGTTACATCATTTCCTTATCTTTTTTTTGTCTCTGGTTTGTTTTCCACTGAAACAGCAGGTGTGCAGTCACGCTATGGAGGGCAATTAAAGTGCATTCATTCTCAAGAGAGAGAAAAAAATAAAACAGATTACCTCACAGGTGGTGTTCTATTGGGTTTCTGATTGGAGCTGCTTGTACGGGTTTTCAGTTGTTTTGACTAAAATGGAAGATTTACCAAGGAAATCAGGGTGAGAATGTATTCAACATAAGAAATGTTGACCTAAAAGACAATATTTCCATGAAGTCCTAAAACAAAAGAATAAATCTTTTTAAGGAAACAGTTGGCTCAAAGGTGATATATGTAATCAAAAGAAATTTTCCTGCTGTTTGTTATAGCAGCTTGAAAGCTCTTTCAGGTCCTAAATGTAACCAAACAGGCATTTTTATAAGGCAAGCACCAGATGTGCTGCCTTATAAATCTACCATCCATCTAAAGTAAATAACTGTGGAACATGAGTGCTCAGTTGGGGAGGAAAGAGCATTAGTCAGAAAAAAAATACAAAGTAATGATTTAAAAGTGGGGTTGAGCTCAGTTCAAACAAATGGAGTCAAACCATCTCAGACAGGTGTGCTTGGGTGAAATGAGTAAACACATTTGTGCTTCTACAATTTGCAACTCCATCCAAACAAGATTTTTATTTTTAAGTTTTTGCATTTTTATCCAACACACAACTGGAAAGGCCTGGTTTATAGACAGACATTCTACATTTACTAAACATGATGGAACGCCAATTAATTTTTTACAATAATTATGTGAAATTTTTGAAAGATCAAGATGCACCCAAAGGCTATATTTTGATTTCAGTGGTCTAATAAAACGGAGACACAACAGACCTCACTGACTTGTCCTCAAATCAGTTTTAGGCATGTTGGTTAGGCTGCAGGGTTTTCAAAGTTTATGCTAGTTTTTTATTCATTCAATGATATGTCCACATGGCATGGGTTCAAAAAAGGAGTTGGTTTTTATGAATTGATTTGTAACATTATGCTTCTTGATGGCACCATTCTGAACAATCGTGTTCATTCTTCATGTTATAAGTAAGGCACTTACCTGAAATAAACATTCCCTGTGTCTTTGATCTGGGTGATGTTTGTCTCATTCAACATCACATTGTCAGATCTTTGCCTTTTATATTTCTTTTCTAAAACCTTTCCATTGCAAGATCAATAGATTACCCGAGGCTCTCTGGTCATGTTTGTTTAGATCAGTATCATAAATGTAATGTCATTACTGTCAAGTTCCAACAGGAGTGTGAAACCAAATCTACTCTCATGGGTTTTTTCCTACACTTGCTTTATTCTCAGGCAAGAATCAACGTGTCTGGTTGTATCAGTTATTCTGATCATTATCAGAGGACTTAGTGTTGTATAAATGTGAAAAAAAAAATGAGTAATGAATGCTAAAAGGCCCTGTAGGGACAGTGATTTGTTATTAAAGACATTTTATCCTGAGTAATGATGTATTCTCAGGAAATTAAAAGATCTAAAAGGAATTAAGGGATAATATAGAAATGCAATTCAAGACTAGGAAAAAACTGTGAAATTAAAATTAAAAAAGATGTGATCATTTTTGATTAGAGATTTGGAACAGAGTTGTGGTAAGAAGAAGTGTACGTACTGACTGTGGCTTTTTAAAATGGATACCCAACTTTATACCACTGCCGCGTATTCACTTGCCTCCAACAAACAAATCTGGGCACAAAGTTGAAAATGAAACTTGCTTTTCTTTTGGATCCCCTCCTAGAACTTTCACACTTCTTGCGTGTAAAACGTCAATTCATCCAAACGTAAACATGGAAGTTGAATCAAGGTTACACTTAGTTCTCATGGGGTCAACCATCTGTAAGAGGAGCTAAAGATAACAAATAGGATGTAGTTTGGCATGTTTGGATGTGTTSTTGTAATCATGTTTCACTCTCTAGCTTTCTTTATACGTCATTCGGAAGGAGCTGGATGTTTCCTTGTGGCTATTTGGTGGCGCAGTTSTAAATTCTCTTTCTTTTGCCTGCTAGGATTTTGTTCAAAGAGTTTCTGGTTTCATTTGTCTCTAATATTGAGGTTTTTTCATGAAAGCCATTAGCTATAACTAAAGCATAGATATTTAGATATCAATTTAGATTTAGATATTCAACAATGACAGAGTGAATATCTAAGTTCAAGTTTTGTGTTTTCTCGTGTAAATGAGAATCCAAAACATTAAAAAGTGCTGAGTGTGTGTGTGTGTGTGTGTGTGTGTGTGTGTGTGTGTGTGTGTGTGGTCCAGGCAAAGACTGAGAGCAGGATGACATCCAGCAGATCCATCTGTTAAAATGAGAGGGGTCCTGTCTGAAGAGGCAGTGAACCTTCACCACCTGTGGCTAAGGCGCTTTAAATCAGCCCAAAACACACAGCCGTGCACATGGACACACATGGACGCTCTCAGTCCAGTGGCTCGTTGATGCAACAGTCTGTTTGGCTGCACGGCTGAACTTATAAACAAGGTTCTCCATCTGGGCTGAAATGTTTATAGTCTGACACCATGACGGTGTGCAGCCCTGTTCAGTCATTCAAAACTGCTGGCTATCTTTTGAAATTCAAAGGTCCAAAACACTATCAGAAGTGGTGACATCAGCGCGAGCTTTGCAATAAAACTTTATCTGTACAGTTGGGTCTCTCTAAAAAAGATGAGGCTAGTTGCCAGCGAGCATTATCTCTGAAGTGTGCTGACAGCTGCAGTAAACAGTTAGCAGCTCGATGAAGTCACTATGGCGTTTGTGCAAATGCACGAAGAGGGCGCTGACCTTAGCCTAAGCAAACTTGCTAAGCACACAGTGGAGTTATTTAGGTGTCTAATGCATCTGTCTTGCATTAGTCCTGCAGATTCTTCTAAACTGTTCCAACCGAATAGATATATGGAAAGTCTGTGGAATCGTGTTAAAAATCTAGTTTATTTTTTTAACTACCTAAGAGCTGTGTCAATATCTATAGGTTTCAGCTTAGAGAAGTAGTCAACAAAGAAAGCTCAATATTTACCCTACAAAAATATTTTGTTTTGACAGAAATAGTAGATTTAAGTCTGACGTAAACCTCTGCGTAATAACCCTTGCTTTTAAAAAGGGAAAAGCAGAAATGAGCCATACTTCTGGAAAACATTTTTTTTCACAAAGGGATTGTGGTTTTCTAGTCAGGACACCTCCATGATTATTTTCTCACTCCCTTTAAACTCAGACAAAACATACCACTGCTGCTGATGTTTTTCTTTTAATCTAAGATTTTTTTAAAGAATTGTTCATGCATTTTAAACCTATATATG